TTTTATTAATTTTAAGAGGATTTTGTTTTAATGTAGAAAGGTGTTAGTTTAAATCGTTTAAATCCATTGTTTGTTGTTAATATAGATTTAATTCGTATTCATTTTTTGAAGTTGGTTTTAATTCAGTGATTTAATGTGAAGTTATGTTTTGGTTTTAATTTTTTGGATCATGTATCTTTGTTATAATTTTTGTTGGATTTAATTAAGAAAGATTAATTGATTATTTGAAGATTAGTGATTTGAATATGTTTATTTGTTTTGTTTAAGTTTAATTCGAAGTTTGAATAAAGTTTGTTTGTTATTTTTGTTGAATCTTTTCATTTATGTTCATACTTTGTTTGGTTGATCTTGAATCCGAAATTTGTATAGTTTGATTTTCTTGTTTATTGTTTATCATTTATGATTATTTCTTGAGTTTGTCTCATAATCTTGTTTAAGTTTAATATAGGAATTGTTGGTTGAAATGTTGTTAGAGTTGATTTTAAGTTCAAATAATTATTAAATTTAGAAATCTGAATAAACTTGTTTGTTGTTGTTGTTGTTGAAGCTGAAAATAGGTTTGTTTGTTGCTAAAAATATTGTTCAATCAAAATTTTAGTTGTTCTTTGTTGTTCAATTTGTGTTCATGTGATATTGTTGTTGTGTTGTTCATCCGTGTTCATATGATTTGTTGTTTGAATTTGTGTAGAAATTGGTCATATTGGCTATATTTTGGTTGAGTTTGATTAATTGATTTGTTATAGCTGATGGAGGTAGTTTGGTAAATCGTAGTACGTTCAGGGGTAAAATGGTAATTGCAATAAGGTCGGAGGGGTAGTTTGGTAATTAAACATTTTGTAATTCTTTATGTTAAGCATGGGGGACAAAATGTAATGGAGTGTGGGTGATATATTTTTTTAATATAAATAGGGGACAAGACAAAATGTAGTGGATGAGAATATGGTAATTGTTTATGATAGGCATGGGGAACAAAATGTAATGTGTTGGTTTGATATATTAGTTTAATATAGTGGGGGATGAGTGGGAAGATAATGGGTTTGGTAGGAGAAAGTGATTGATTTTAATTGATTAAAGGGTTTGGGATGGAAAATAAATATAGAGGTCTTGAATCATAACAAAAGGGGGGGAAGAAAAAAACGGACAGATAGAGAGAGAGAAAAAAAAAGAGCTGAATATTTAAGAGAGAGAAAAATTCCGAAAAATATTCAAACTTTCAAATAAAAAAAAACTAAAAAAAATCTTCTGCTTTCTTTCATTATTTGAAATCAGCATTAATTGTTGTTGTTTCATACAAGTTGGGAGCTTTTGTTTTGGGATTACTACTCCACCGGTTTGCAAACTCTGTTCCTGGGTTGTTACTGTTGCTGGATTGTTGTTGCTGTGCTGTATTGTTATCACTGCTGTTGATTCTCATCTTCATTTTATTTTGCTTCCAATATCAGGTACACAACTGACACGCTGGTTATTGTAATCCGAAATATGAAGCATGAATACGAAAAATGAAGAGTTGAAATTCTAAATTTGCTTTAATTATATTCTGAATTTTATTTGTATGTACAAATTATTTAGCTTGCAAAAATCAGAATCATGTAGCTATTTAATACATATAGTGGAACATCCGACGATAGCTTAACAGATGAACTATCTACATATATTGCCTAAAAATAAATAAATGGTGTAGTAACTCCGTCGAGTCAAAAATCAAACTAATAGGCCATTTAGTAGGAACTTGGTATAAATATTATTTAGTTAAATAATATTGGTTAATTTCAGCATGTAAACGGTCTAGGATTAAAATTAGATTGCTATGTTTTTTTAATTTGACAAACTGAGAACATGCCTAGTATAATGTAACTAGGTAATAACATGTAAATAAATTAAGATATTTTCTCTTTTATTTTGTAGAGACAAATTTCAATAGAAAAATGTAGGCATTTTAGGACTATCCTTTAAAAATAAAATGAGATGAGTCTCGCCCAATAAAATGCACCAATTGTGGGGC